GGTGACAGGGTTAGGGAAATAATGTGTACCAGTTCTAGGGAATGTCTATCACTTTTATTCTAGTTCATTGTAATATTTACTATGATATACTATAATTTGTGTTAACAGTTTTATTGGTTGTACATAAATCTGTTGTTTCCCTGAGTAATTGATTTCTGAACTTCTTGAACTGCCTGGCTTTTATTTTAGAGATATATGAGTCTGTAGATAAGCAAGTCAAGTACACTGTCTTTTAAATCTAACCAAACTGAATTTTTCTTTATAAACGACATTTTAAAATCAAATTAGAACATTGTGGTTTATTTTATGTAATAAGAAAAAAGTGCAACATACCTCTTGAAGAGGAGTTCATCAGTTCAATCAATCCATCAAGAACACTTGATGAACTCTTCTGATGCCCTTCAAGATGGGAGCCCTTCAGAAGGTTACTGAGTCCAGTGTAAGTACAGAAAGAAAAACTCTTCAGATGAGTGAGTTTGAAGCTGACACCAAAGAGAACAGTATGTGTTTGAAAGAAGGAATAGGAAAAAGTAAAGGGAACAAAGGGGTACCTGGCAGCAATTTTCAAGCAGAAAGACCATTATATGCTAATGTACATTGATAATTAGAAGTTCTTCTGCATTTCTAGGGCAGGAGAGCTGCAAAAATATCCACAATGAACCTGGAAATATAAGCAGGAGCCTAATTCTAAACAACATTCAAAATCAGTAAGAATAAAATTTTATCTTAAGAGCCTTTTAAAAATTTTGAAAAAGGAATTGACATGATCATATTTGCATTTCAGCAAACTCATAACTACAATGTAGAGTTAAAAAGAGAAATCCGAGAAAAAGTTCTCATAGGATACTCTTACAGTAATTCAACAAAGAGATAAGGATATCCTGAACTAGGAGAGTGGGGATAAGATAAAAGGAAGCAGATGATATTATGAATTAATATAGCATAATGACCGTATGTACAGTCTAGAGCTGGCCACACAAGGTTCAGACTCTGTACTTACCAACTGCAATAGGTCATTTCAAATGACGTTTTGCATATCCGTAAGTCCTGGTCTTGCACATAATGTGTAGTCATTAAATATTAGCTATTATTGTATGACAGTTACTTTGAAAACAGGGAGATGAAAAGTGGCATTGTGTATTACTCAACCATAAGAAGAGATAAAATACTGCCATTTGCAACAACATGGATAGACCTTGAAATAATCATACTAGGTGAAATAAGCCAGACAGAAAAGGTTGAAATCACATGATTATCACATATGTGAGATATAAACCTAAAAGCAACAAATGAACAGGACAAACAAACAGAGACTCATGGACATGGACAATGGACTAGTGGTTACCAGAAGGGAGCGGGGAGAGGAGTGTTAAAAATGTTAAAAAAAATATGTATATATAATATGAAACAAATAAATAAACTGGCATTTAAAAAATAAAATAAAATAAAATAATTGTTAATCATAGTGCCAGATTCACCATTGTTTTAACAGAAAAAGAAAATGTACATAATTGAATGATTTAGAGGGAAAAAAGTATCATTGTGTGCACCTGCTAAATGATCCAAAAAAGCAGGTTAAAAAAGTGTTACTGAAAACCATCCTGTAATTTTAGATATTATCTACATGCATGACTAAAGGTTTCTAAGTGTCCTTCTAAGTATCAAGATTTACTCAAATTTTGTATTCATAAACAAAAATGCGCACCATATAAGCATCACTCAGGACTAGTGGTCAGTTTTCTACTAGAAGCCTTGTGTCACACAGCTCTGACAGCTCATGTGCACATATAGAGAGATCTTATTGACAAGGAAGCCTTATGTTCAATGTTCCTTTGAGTTGCTATAGATTTCAACTGCTGCTAGTCATGCTTTTAATTACAATTTCTTTTTAGATTACTTTCCTCATAATTAATTTAGTTCGCTGCAGATGATTTTCTTTATCCAATGATGTATATGAATACTTTCATCGATAATGTTTTTACATTTCAAATAACTACTTGGAAGCATGTGTATCTTGTAATTCAGAAGTGGGTCTTTCAGAAGCCTATTAATTATGCAGTCTCATCTTACTATTATTGATAATTTATTTTAATAAACTAAGGTGGATATGTCTGAGTAATGATTTCCCTTGCTTTATTTTCTGAGTTAAAATAAGTAATTCTTGAGAACGATTAATTTAGAACAGAAGAGAGAGGACTTGGTGAGTGAAAGAATGTGGGATTGTAAGAAAGCTGTAAACGCACAACTAAATGTAAAGCTTATTTAGGGAACTATTTTTGTTACTTATAGCAGTGTTTAATTACCACAAAATTGTGTGGCTTAAAACAACAAATATTTATTCTCTCACTGTCTATGAGTCAGGAACCCAGATATGAGTTACCTTAGTCTTCTGGATATGCAAAACTCAGAAATATATAAATATCAGAACATATATGTCCTCCTTAACAATTTGATACGAGTAAAAATGACTACTTTTTCCTAACTGTAAGATCTCTGTTTGCTGTGCTAGAACCTGGTGAAAAAGATGTTTTTCTCTTGAATGTTTTATTTGAGAGAGAAGACAAAAATACACATTTTCTTACCCCAAAGATTTAGAGTAAAATAAATGGTATCACTAAGCAAAAAATGAATTAATACTGTACAAACACCAAAAAGCATTTTATAAGTTGAAGAGGGTACAGTACCAATTATCCTATTATTTCACTCTACTCTCTGGGTGAATAGTCTGAAAGCCAAAAATTACAGTTGCTGTTAGATTTCTTGGCTTCATTTGCAAAATGGAGTCTTTTTTTTTACTTTTTTTTTTTTTTTTTTTTTGTGAGGGCCATAAACACATGTTATATTATTTAAGAGTAGCAGTCCCTAGTTTGTTAAGATATTTTTTTTTTTGTCCTCCATGTCAAATCTGGCTGGTTACAAATTGATGTAGCACTGTGTTTCTCAATGATTTGCAATGGCCCTAAGTACCATTTGAGCAGAAGCTTTTTAGCATGTCATTCGTTAGGAGACCAGTTCTGGAGAAGGTCCTTCGACTGGCCAGATGTGTCATTTTGGAACAGATTGAGGGCCTGCCAAAATACCATTTGTTGCCAGGACCGGATATTGTAGGGGTGCTCACCACTCTGTTACCATATTTTTGCACTTCTTAGCATTGCATAAATAGGCAGCTGTTCCGTATTTAGAATATAAATGAGTCACCAGCTTGCTCTCCCAGGAGGATTTACCTGAAAGAGGAAACTACGATGTTAACCCTTTCTCATCATCATGCCTGAATATCACATTTAAATGCACACTTCTCTCAGCTCATTCCGAAGCAAATCCTTATGCATATAAATCACATCTTTCCTGCCAGTTAGGCAAGAGAACCAAAAAATGTGCAATTCTCATGCTAAAATGAAACACATTTCTGTAGCAGCAAAAGTAGTAAATTAATCAGTTGATAAACTGAGAGTGAGCAATTTGTGCTGAATTCTTTCTTACTGCTTCTTCAACAGGAAACAAGGTTCTCTAATCTCGTAAAGGACCATAACTTCATTAAGATGGAAAACCCCATTAAAGGAGGTTTTGCAAAAGACAAGAAAAGACAAGCCCTAAAAGTCACTTAGTTGTCTTTCTGGAACTATTTTCAGGACAGAAGATTTTTTATTTGGAGAATGGCAATTAACATACAGACTTGGCCCAACGAAGAAGCAGAGTGTTGAAGTGGGTCTCATTACAGGACACTGAAGGCAGTTGGTTTGACCTAATCCACATTTGTCCCAGTTGATTTACGTAACAGGCTAGCACAGCTGCTTAATTGTTATTTCAAAATCTTGACCAATTTATATATAAATATATATGTATATGCATGTGTGAATAAGTATATATACACATATACATATACATATACACATACACATACATTTGTGTGTGTTATTTGTTTTACCCCTAGGTACAATTAGAAAACAAACTTGTCAGTTTTGGAATATCAGAGTAGAAAAAGTCAAGGAAGTTAGGAAAAGCAGAGGCAGTTAAAGTATATGGTATATTAGCTGATCTCAACTACTTTTTTGAATGTTTACCGTAAAATAGACATAACTCTTATTTGCTCTTAAACCCAGCATGCCATACCCTGATAGAGCTAAGTTATTTCTCCAGGCTTTTCATCCTGCCAGCGGAATAAAAGTGCACACAGATAGACACAGATAGATAGGTGACATTTGGAGAGCCAGGCATGCCAGATTTTCGGAGGTTACAACGGAGGTCCAACCTGCTGTTCTCCTAATGAAAGGAGGGGAGATTCAGACTGGCAAAACTGCTATAAGGGACATGTCTGCTCTGAATGTCACGCTGCCCAGATGTCGCTCGGCAGGTGGAGATGCACAGAGAATGAAAACGTAGTCCTGTGTGTGTGGGTGCTAGTGCATTGCGAGGGTGAACAATGAGTCTGTTTTCTCAAGTGTAATGAAAACAGTGTGGATCTTGTCCATATTCATGTCATGAGAAAGGGCTTTCTCAAAGAGTCCTCGCCCTACGGCCCCTCTCAGACTGACACGCACTAATGCTCACAGGCCATGTGCACGTGACTTGTTTCAGCGTCTTAAGTATAATTTGACAATTTATTTTAACGTATTTATATACATGTATGTATGTGTGGTTCTTACATAGAAAATACGATCTATTTTAATAGAAATGTTACTACATAAGTTTTGTATCTTGAGTTTGTATTCAATCTCAAAGCTATATCATGAAAATTTCTCACCTTATTTTCCTTAGACTTATCTCATTTTATAAAATTAAATTTTATAGTGAAGGTGCATGATCATATAGTCAGACATTTCTCTGTTGATGAGCATTTAGGTTGGCTCTAGAGTACTTCAAATTGGCATGGCTATGTTCTTCATAAATATCCTGATGATTTTTATTAGAATAAAGTAAGTAAGACTTGAGTTACCTTTTGCAAAAAAAAAGCTAAAGTGGCTCTCACTGAATTTTCTGTTACTACAATTGTTTTTCTTCAGTGTTACGAGATGACTTCCGGCAAAATCCCACAGATGTAGTAGTGGCAGCTGGAGAGCCTGCAATCTTGGAGTGCCAGCCTCCCCGAGGACACCCAGAACCCACAATCTACTGGAAAAAAGACAAAATTCGAGTTGATGACAAGGAAGAAAGAATAAGTGTGAGTTAAATTTCAAAGAATGCCTGAAGAGATTGAATATCAAGTCTTAGAATGGATATATTTTATTATTTTATTTACCATTAATACAATCATAGAACTATATTTGAATGCTAACTACCATTTATACTGTATTGAAAGGACTGAAAAAAGGTAACCAAAAACAATAACTTTGGAATGAAGTCTCAAAGAGACAAAATTATGTAAATCAATTGTACATAATAGTTTAAGAATTATACCAATCTGAACATGTAAATATATTTTTACAGTAAAATATTGAGGTCTGAGCTCTTGTTAGAATTTTCAGAACATCTATTACTCGTGCAGTATGTAAGTGTTAAAATGTAAGTGATGGTCATAAACCATACTAAATGGAACATTTCTTTTTGCACTATTTTCAAAATTATAAGAGAAAATAGTTTGAGATGATAAATATTGTAAGCACTTTTTTAGTTTTTCCAATTTAATTATATATAACAAAAATTTTAGGCATGAACTTATTTAAAAGTTTAAAAGATACAGGTAAGATCAAAGTAAAAATAAATGGATGATTCTGCCATTTAGCTTTTGTAGGAAAATTGTGTTTTCAAGGAATATTGATGATCAAGTTTATTAGTTTATTAACATTCAAAATAAAACACCCAGAAAATGATAAAGGTAGAGAGAGAATAACATAAAATTATTTTTTTTCAGAGAATCTACTCGACATTTCTATGTGAAGTTTGTGATAACCAGTCCACTGAAATAATAGATAATGCCTAAAACTTCTGACATTATTCTTAGTTTAATTTATTTTTATATTCAGTACAATAATTGAGAATGAATATATTTTATTTAAAATAATATCTCATTTAACTAAAACAAGTGCCAATTCTATCAAAAGTCCATATAGTATGGGTATCAATTATCTTTAAAAATATCTAATAAATGAGTATTTTCCTTGTGTGTACATTATGATTTCATTGTAACACAGAACCAGATAGGCCATGTAAGAGATTACAGTGTATATTTATGTGATTCTGGCTTGAACTATTGAAATTCTGAGGCTCTATAATGCCCAGAAGAATTTTGTTCTCAACGGCCTGTGCTTGGGTACCAAACTTATGAAAATTTGCTCCTGGTGATGGAGAAAAAAATCAATGTTCAAGGGTTTCTAGTTCATGTTTGTATTATTTAGCTTTTGCTTTGTAACAAATCACCTCAGAATGGCTTATATTAACCATTTTACTTAGACTGATTCTGTGGGTAAGTTGGTAGTTCTTCACTCTGGGCCAACTTGGCTGGTCTTTTCTAGGCTTTCTCATGCTTCTGTGGCTTGTTTAAAGATGTGAAGGGAGTTGGATGATCTAGGATAGTCTTGCCAACATGTCTGGCAATCAACTAACTCTCAGTTGAACATCTTTATTCTTGTCCTCATGGCCTCTAGTATTCTAGCAGGCGAGCTCAGGCTGGTTTGTATGGTGGCCTCAGGGTTCTCGACTGCAGCGAGAGGTGACAAGTGCCAATGTGCAAGCACCTTTCTTCTGGTGAAACATTTTTTTAGTTGCATAGGCCAAATCATTTTAGAACCTGAAATATATCTGATGAGGCCATACCTATGTGAGTTTCGTTTGCCTATGAATTGAAAAATTAACAAAGGAAAACAGCATGTTCTTATATCTCTTTAAGAACACTCAATCATTGTGAAGGTAAGATTATTGGATTAGGTAAATACAAAAAAGTTAGAAAAAAAGCTATGAGTTGAGGGTACGCTTCCTGAGAATCTGATTCTCTTTTAATGCCCCCTTTAACAAACAGACATTTTAACATTATTACATTTGTTTATTCAGTCAATAAATGCTCCTTATGTGAAATTTAGGGAGTAGACATTAGAAGCCAATGATTTGTATGAACTCCTAATCATCATTTAAAGAATTTAATTTGTTTTTATCCAACCTGCTCTACACTTCTAAAATTATCTCATAAATACAATTAAGATAAGAAAAAGACAATTAATACAATTAAAATCTAAGCTCCCCAAAGACAGAAATTTTTATTACTTGTTTTATTACTGAATCTCAAGTGCTAGAAAACTGCCTAGCCCATAGAGGTACTCAATAAATATTTGTAGAATCTTCAGAGGGGATCTGAGAATTTTGTTATATTATCCAAAGCAGATATTTTGTGCTTTTTCATGACATATGTTACTAGCAATCTGTCCAACCAAATCTCAGAGTGAAGACCAACCATTGGAATTTAATGGGGACAGTAATAAGACTCAAAATAAGACCAGGCAAGAGGTGAGGACTACTTTAAAGAAGCATTATCTAGAAAGCAAATTGGAGGCTTATATTGAAAGAGGATTTAAGAGAAGACAAGACATATGCAGATGCCAAAATAGTGGGAGAGTTTTGTCTTAGACATTCAGCTAATTCCTTTAAGAAAAAAAATGTGTTTAAATATTCAAAATTATTTATTAGTGATCTTTCCTTTACATTTTCTTTTCTTTTTTTCTTTTCCTTTTTTTCATTTCTTTTCTTTTCTCTTTGTTTTCTTTTTGTTTTGTTTCATTTTTTTTCTCCCTCCCCCCTTCTCTCTCTCTCTCTTTTTTTTTATTTTTATTTTTTTTATTTTCACAGATCCGTGGTGGAAAACTGATGATCTCCAACACCAGGAAAAGTGATGCAGGGATGTATACCTGTGTTGGCACCAATATGGTGGGGGAAAGAGACAGTGATCCAGCAGAGCTGACTGTCTTTGGTAAAATTCTCTTTTAAATTAGAAATTACTATTTAACTCTACTTGTTCATTGTTTTTAAATATGTTTTTGTTAATATTAATCACCAGACCATATAGGGACAGTTACTTATGACTTGTGATGCACAGTGACAGACTAGAATTGTGTTCTGGTTTTGTCTTTAAGAAGAAATTTTTGATATGAAGAAAAGTAAAACTTATAAAATGTCAATTCACCTACTTTATTCATATATTTGTAAGTTAATATTTGTAAGACTACCTTTTATCAGAATGTAAACAATTGCTTTTTTTCAAAATCTGTTTGAGATATATTCATCTAAAGTTTATTGCTCATTACACTGTGGTATGTTTATCAAGTACCTACGCTATGTACAAGACATAGGATAATTTTTTTTTTTTTAATTAAAATGCAGTGCAAAGACATTTCAGTTGTTTTCTACTTTTAAACATTTCAAATTGAGGTAATTTGCAGTTTTAAAGATGAACTTGCTGTATATATTCACACAAGTAATCAAAATTAGAAAAAATACATGAACTATTTTGCTATATTTATGTTTCTTCAACTTTAAGAACCAAGGGACTCTTTAGTTGAAGTAATTCAATTAATAAGCTAAAACATGATAGATCTGTATCACAGAAATAGTGGATAAATCAATAGGATAATAAAGATGGCTGACTAAACAAAATTAGAGAAAATTCTGTAGAACAGGTGTGGAAATTGAAGGAGAAATAAAATGATGGAAAACTCAGGAAAACAGGGATTCTAAACATACTAGACAATGAATATTCCTTTAGAAGACATTGAAGTGCCATTCAAATCTCCATATGTAGATATAATATCACATGTAAACATGTACACCTTTATACATGTTTATATACATATACATACATAAGATTTCACTATTGTGGATATTATGTGATTTTCTTTATAGCGTATAAGGAATAATTAAGATTTTTAAATTACTTATTGTGTCAGTAAAATAAACAATAAAATCTGATTTCTGGTCATTATTCTAGAACACGCCTGAGGGTAGCCTCAAAATCCTGCATATCTCCCTAAAGAAACTTCTCTCGTTTGGGAAGTGCCATCCCATGGTGCAATGAGAGTGCCACGATGCAAAAAGAGCTATACTATGATTTCCATTACATTTAGAGCATTTAGGGTCTACTTTATGAATATGTACCAGGGTAAAGGCCTCTCTTTTCAAGCACTCTGAGTACCAAGGAATCTCTGGAATACTCCCTGTGGCTACTAAGCAGCTCGAAGTCCCAAATGACAAAACCAGGAGAAATCTCATAATTTATTAAAGGAATTGAGAAGTAAAAATAAAATTGTTCAAGTATACACATACATCTCTGTCCTGCAGAGCTCTGACAAGCATCAATTTGCCATTAAATTTTATGCAGTCATCTGTAAGAGCCCCAAAATGTGCTGTACTCTGAAATGAATAAAATAGTTTTGCCTGGTAAGATATAAAATTAGTGGTCACTAAACATTATCATTGAAAACCCACGAGAACAGCTTTTCTATTTAAAGAAATACTCATCACTATTTTTCCATAACTACTACAAGCTTTGAACAGGAAAGTGTTTCATTATAGCTGTATATACTACCTCCAGAAGGAAATTGTAAGTATTTAATCTCATTACTCAAGCAATTAGACTTACCAAAATGTTATCGTGTTATGAAATATTTACCCTACTTTCCCTAAAGACATGACGAGAAATATAGAACATTCCTAAACATGTCAAGAATTACAGGGGAACTTCTAAATTATTTTCAAAATAGCTATAAACCAAAGAGATTAAATTTGTCTAGAGGCAGTTCCTTTTTAGGAAGCTGAGAAATGTTTATCTGATGGTGTAAACAAGTCAGAACTGACCTAAGGGGTTAAAAGTACAATGTTAAGTTGAGGGAAAATCTAAAATTCCATTAAAGATTAAGAAAAAAAACAAAAACAAAAACAAAAATGAAAAACAAAACAGCATCCAAAACCAGAAACAAAAGTTAAAAACAGTAGTGATGATCTAAATCAAGGATGTGACAAATATTTCATGAGAGAAACCTCTTCTGTACTTTGATTTTACGTTGGTGCTCTTGCATCCAGAACGTTTTCTAATAAATCTCTTTATATTTCATCATTATTAGATATTATCATCTCTGACCTAAGGTTTATAAAAGTAAAACCAGTTATATTTTTATCTCTCTTCTCTCTGAACTTTATTTTCATGGAGCAGCAATTCTGCTTTAAGAAATTTGGCTACAAGAAGTTTTTAAATATCCTTGGCAACCCAATCTTTAATATATGTTATACAGAAAAGTAACTGATAATATTTCATTATAATTCAAAAATATAATTTACTTAAAATGGCAGGTAAAACAATGAAAGAAATAGAGTCTTTGCCAATACAATGATCATCTGCAAGCATTTTGATTTTTTAGTAAGTGGTCTTGGACTTAGGAATTTTTTAGTTCTATTTTTTAATTTTTTTAATTTAAATTTACTTATTTATTTATTTGTATGGTGACATTGGTTAATGAAATCCAGTAAGTTTCAGCTGTACACTTTAACAGTAAGGCATATATATGTGTGTGTGTGTGTGTGTGTGTGTGTGTGTGTGTGTGTGTTTATACTGTGTTGTTCACCTCCCATAGTTAGATTTTTTTCTGTCACCCCATATTTAACCCCCTTTGCTCCATCTACCTCTCTCCTCCCCACCACCCTCTGGGAACCACTAGTCTATTGTCCATGTCCAAGAGTCTCTGTTTGTTTGATCTGTTCATTTGTTGCTTTTAGGTTTATATCCCACATATAAGTGATAGCATGTGGTTTTCAACTTTTTCTGTCTTATTTCGCTTAGCATAACTGTCTCGAGGTCCATCCATGTTGTTGCAAAGGGCAATATTTCATCTCTTCTTATGTGAATGATATCCCATTGTATATATGTACCACAGCTTCTTTATCCAATCATCTATCCTAGAAAACTTCGGTTGCTTCCATGTCCTGGCCACCATGAATAATGCTGCTATGAATATTGGTGTGCAAATATTTTTTCGGATATGAGTTTTCAAGTCTTTGGGGTAAATACTCAGTAGAGGGATTCTTGGATCATATGGTAGATCAATCGTTAGTTTTTTGAGGAACCTCCATGCTGTTTTCCATAGTGGCTGTACCAATTTGCAGTCCCACCAGCAATGTATGAGCTTTCCTTTCTCTCTGCATCCTGTCCAACAGTTATTAATAATTGTCCTGTTGATTATAGCTATTCTAACAGGTGTGAGATGGTATCTCATTGTGGTTTTGATTTGCATTTCCCTAATAGCTAGCGATACCGAGCATCATTTTATATATTTGTTTTGGCCATTTGTATGTCCTCTAGGGAGAAGTGTCTGTTTAGGTCCTCTGTCTATTTTTTGATTGGATCTTTTTGTTATTGTTGTTATTGTTGTTGTTGTTTTGTTGTTGTTATTGAGTTGTATGAGTTCTTTGTATATTTTGGATTAGGCCCTTATCAGAGGCATTGCTTGCAAATATATTTTCCCATTCGGATGGTTGTCTCTTTACCTTGCTGACGGTTTCTTTTGCTGAGCAGAAGCTCTTTAGTTTGATGTAGTCCCATTCATTTATTTTAGCTTTTACTTCCCTTGCCTATGAGATCAAATTTATAAAATCCTCTTTGAGTTTAGTTCCTATGTTTTTTCTATGCACTTTATTATTTCAGGTCTTATATTCAGGTCTTTAAGTCATTTTGAATTAATTTAGTTGTATGGGGATATAGTCTAGTTTCATTCTTTTGCAGGTGGCTTTCCAGTTTTCCAAGCACCATTTATTGAAAAGATTTTCCTTTCTCCACTGTATGCTTTTGTTTTTTTTGTCAAAAATTATTTACCCATATAAATATGTGTTTACTTCTGGACTCTCGATTCTGTTCCACTGGTCTATGTGTCTGTTTTTCTAACAATACCATGCCATTTTGATTATTGACGCTTTGTAGTATAATTTGGGCAGAGCGAGGCCTCCAGCCTTGTTCTTTTTCTCAGTATGGCTTTGGCAATTCGGAGTCTTTTGTGTTTCCATACAAATCTGATAATTTTTTGTCCTATTTCTTTAAAAAATGCCAATGAGATTTTGATGGGGATTGCATTAAATCTGTAAAATGGTTTAGGTAATAAGGTCCTTTTAACTATGTTGATTTTTCCAATCCAAGAACATGGAGTATCTTTCCATTTCTTTATATTTTCTTCTATTTTTTTTAATAAGATCTTATAGTTTTCATTATATAGGTCCTTCACATGTTTGGTTAGATTTATTCCTAGGTATTTTATTCTTTTGTTGCAATTGCAAAAGGAATTATTTTTCTACTTCTTCTTCTGACACTCATTATTAGAATATATGAACGCTATAGATTTTTGAACATTGATTCTTTGTATCCAGAAACTTTACCGTATTTGCTTACTTTTTCTAGTAGTGTTCTTGTGGCTCTTTAGAGTTTTATATATAGAGAATCATGTCATCTGCAAATAGTGACAGTTTGAATCATTTTTCCTATTTGGATGCCTTTTATATCTTTCTCTTGTCTGATTGCACTCGCTAGGACTTCCAATGTTATATTGAATAGCAGTGGCGATAGTGGACAGCCTTGCCTTATTCCCAATCTTAGAGGAATTTTTTTTTATTTTTTCACCATTACGTATAATGTTGACTGCGGGTTTGTCATAGATGGCCGAAATTATGTTAAGGTACTTTCCTTCTATATTGATTTTGTTAAGTGTTTTGATCATAAATGGGTGCTGTATCTTGTCAAAGGCTTTCTCTGCATCTATTGATATGATCGTATGATTCTTATTTTTTAATTTGTTTATGTGGTGTATGACATTAATTGATTTGCATATGTTGAACCATCCTTGTGTCCCTGGGATGAAGTTCACTTGATTGTGATGTATAATCATTTTAATATGTTGCTGTATTTGGTTCACTAGTATCATATTTAAGAGTTATGCA